AAGGGCGGGGGATACAAAACACTGGAGGGGAAGGAAACAAAGCTGTCTCAACTGAACAGCCTCCATACCACAACATGAGGGAAACTCCCCTAGCCAGCTTTCAAAGGAACAATTTGCTGCCTCATTTCTACAAGCTGTAGTTTTTCCTGCCTTCAAGACAGACCACACACAAGCAGCCGCACTATCCACAAACGCTTCTGCACATGGGGTCAAGAAGAATCATCAGCAGTCCCTGTGGAGCAGGTCTCTGCCTCTCCACCGGCTGCAAACAGGCCTTGCATGTCATGTGGCGTCCTGTTGTGCAGCCACTGTCAGGCAGCCTGACGGGGGAGAGGGCAAGCAGAGACCCCAGGGCTGAGCAAGGGCCCCATGCCACCTTCGGCTGCTCTGGGAGGAACCGGAGACATCACACCGTGGGGACATGCTGGCTACTGCCAGGCACTGGTGGGCTCTTCACCAACTGCAGGTCGGGCTCCTCACCACGGGACATGCTGGAGCTGGTCTGTACCCGTGTCCAACTGCTGGAAACTCTGAAACGCCCAGGTACTAAACCCCACAAAGGCTACAGCCTCCTCTGCAGGCCTACACAGTGCTATTTCCAGAGGAAAAGCCATCGCAGTTCTGTGGCGCCTGAGGTTTCAGGCCAGTCGCTCCCCATCCAGGACACAGGATCAGAAGAATGTTTGCTAGAGGCAATGTGCTCCCCACTGGTGACCCTCTCCTCCACAGCCCACCAGAGCTGCCCACTTCTCTCCTCTTCCCATCCTGCCACTTCTGGGCGAGAGCTTCCAGACCTCCCTGCTGGCTTCTTCAGACTGTCCATGAGGAGCATCCCATGGTCGGCTTCTCCCACAGGTGTAAATGCTTTTTGTTTGCTTCATATCCAGATCTCTGGGAGAGTGAAGTAAGGGGATTTCCAAGGGACAAAGCAAGAGATGGGAGCAAGAGGAGCAACCTGAGACAGTGGCAGAAACACCATGCTATGGCCACACAGGCACAGCCTGAACCTCGGCCATCCATGGGCCCGGTTACCCTCAACAGCAGAGTCGCTTCCCCCACTGGTACCACCCATTCGGCTGCTGTCTTTACCAGGGAGAAAGTGCTGGTGATTTCCTTCTTCCATCAGCAAGGAAGTTCTAGCTCCCACCATGTGGGACAGCTCATGTAGCTGCATGTGGTTTCATTTAACTAGCAGGTGCAGGAAGAATATTTTTTTCAGTAGACTAATCCATTCAAAACGGAAAAGCCAATAGGGAGTTGAAAGAATAGGAGCGCTTGTTTTTCTTATTTGAATAAAATCCAGATGGGAAAAGACCTAAAGAATTTTGGACAGTGTTTTCTCTGAACTTGTAAATATATGCTTGGTGGGATTCTCAAAAAGACCAAATCAGTTTCAAGGAAAATCAGGCATCTTGTTCTGAAGATATGTTTAATCTGATTATTTTCTAAATACTTCACTTGATGCCTTTGTTCACGGTTAAATACTTTTGCTTCTGATCATGATGGCACAGATTTTAAATCCTTCAGTTAATCAACTCCTGCCAAATCAGGCAATATTTTCTGTGTTTAGTAAGCCAATTTGGAATGCAAAATACTCTGGAAAAAAATTCCTAATGCATCCAGCACAAGTGGATATAATAAAGTAAAATGCATATGAAATAGTGAGTTTGCACATTTTAAAGCCTAATTTTACTTTTCATGCAAAAGACAACTAATGCAGGTTATAAGCAAAACATTAAGTAATCAAAAGACCAGTCTCAATTTTCTCTGTAATTAAAAAAAACCCAAAAACGTAACTGATCCAGAGAAGTTGCTGGTCAGCAAGAAGCACTACTTAAGCATGAAGACTGCATTTATAACCTTTCAAAGATGTTGATCTGTAACAGGCAAAGACAATGAAGCTTTCTGTAGAGAAGTACAAACACAAAGGTTAAGGCAACTGATTTAAATCAAAGGTTCCAATTCCTCTATTTTAAACATGACTAAAATTGGCAATTTAAGTCACAAACCTAGATCAACCCATCCTGGCTCTTTTACTGGTCTCGATCCCTCCACAAGCTCATCTCCTGACCTGAAGCATAAGCAGATTTGTCTTATGTTGCTTTAATAAAATCAGTATTTGGATACAAGTTTTCCAGGTCTGCAAAATTGCCTTGATCAGATTCAGAGTCTGGCCTGCTTAGTCCCCATAAACCTGGTAGTTATGATTTATATCAGTTTAATGGAGGATTTAAAGAGCTGATCTCTCTGTGCAGCAGCTGACACAACCTAGAACGTCTGTGACTCAAGACAGCAATTCCCTCCCAGGATACATGTAAATGGCTGAACGGAAAGACGAGCAGAGGTTACCTCCACCCTCAGAAGGGCCAAGGGGAGAGAACTTCTCCCTTTGTCATCACACCTCTGGTTCCTTGAGGATGGAGTGACGTTGCATCTTCGTTTCCAGGAGTAACGGTAGTCCTGCACAGTGAGAGCACTAAGCACTGAGAAAGATGCCATCACAAAACTACTCTGACCAGGAAACCACAACGGACAGCTCTTATGGTACAACAAACTTCATGTTTCTTTCAGGCCTCTCCACAAAACTCTAGAACTATCAATATTAGATCAAGAGATGACACAAAAGCATGTCAGCTAGACCTGTACTTCATCAACAGCAGTTAAACAAGCAACTTCCCCTACTTGCTTTCCTGTAAAAAGCCTTCTGGAAAAAGGGGAGCATGGTCAGGATGCACTACCAGAGGGGCCAAGGGACAGCTTGCTCCATCTTCAGGGAGCCACAGACAGGCAGCCACAATGCCAGGAACGCCAGAGCCAGAACGAGCACCTGCAGGCACCTCGAAAGATGCTTGGCCCAATTTGTGTACTGTTTTTCACACGTTGCTGGTTAAGCTGTGTAACTCCTTGCCACAGGATCCTGGAAGTGCACTGGTGGGGGGGCATCAGGTGATGCATGGGACAGAAATCTAGAGAAACCCTTGAGCTGAATGTGGTTAGAGGTTAGGGAAGTATTTGGGGGAAGTGAAGCATTGTACACATTCCCTCTCTCCTTATATACTCCAAAAGTGACCAAAAGCAGATGTTTAGGGAAGAGAAGGGCCACTGGGCTGGATGGGCCTCTGATCCCACCCTTGTGTTTTATTACTCACATCAGCACTTGAATGTAGCTCAAGGGAAGCCACTGCTCTAACCAGCCTCATTGTATCCCCCTGTCCATCCATTCTGACCAACAGCACCAGAGTCAAAAGGCCAAACCAGACCAAGGACCCAGGTAAGTAACTTGATCAATAATAAAACAGCAACTCAGTGCAGACAGGAGTCCCAGAGCTGGCCAACTGAAGGGGCTCTGCTGCAAGGACAGCCACAGGCAAGAGGAGACACCCGTGGAGGCAGGGCTTCGCAGGAAACACCAGCCCAGGAGAGCAAAACAGTTTAGTGCGAAAAAGGCAGGGCAAGGAGCAGAGATGTGCATGTCTGTAGACAGCCTGCTCCCCACACTAGATGGATAATACCCATCTGATTAATTCATAAGCCAGGACTGTCCTTGCTCTGCACAGCTAGGCCTCATCATCTGTCCCATTTCCTACATGTCCCTCAACAGATATGCATTAGGACGAGGAAGGGGTTAAAAGACCGTCTGTTTTCTGACTAGGAAAGCCCACCAGAGAGGCAGTAGCCTACCACAATGCTCTGCTAGCCTAGGACGACACTACAAGGATGGGATCCCTGTGAAATCCTCTGGTTTTAAGACACAAAATAAAAGGGAAAGTGGATTTAAGAAGCACCCCAATACAGGCCACCAACCCCTACAGTGACAGTACTGTTCTGGAAGAGGAGGAAGCGCTGAGTCACTTACATTCATGGTCCCATTTATCTCCGCCACTGATTCATCGTCTGTTGGGAACTGGTAGATCTGAACCCCATTACTGACCAGTTCACTTGTGATTTTAATTTTAAATTTGGTCAGCTCACTCTTGGAAATGGCATCAGATTTGGCAATGATGGGAATGATGTTCACCTAGAAAGGAACACAGTGGTAAGTCCTCAGCTTTGCTCCAGGGAGTTTTTCCAAGTCTGCAATACAACTTACAAAAACTTAAAAGTGCTCAAGAAATCTACAGGATTTATCTGCAACCCAGTCATCTCCACTAGCATAAGGGCTATTCAAGGCGGGGAGACGTGCCCTGGAAAAGCAGCAGCCTTTCCACCACACGCATGGCGAACCTGCCCAGTAAGAGTTAAACACGCCTACCTTGCTGTCAAGCTTCTTCATTGTTACCAAGTCCAGGGATTTCAGCGAGTGGCCTGTCGGAGCAATGAAGTACAAGCAAGCGTGGATACGGGTGTCATGGTAGTTGTGCAAGACCCTTTTTATCTTCAGTTCTTCTTGCAAGTAGGCTTCAAACTGAGCATCAATGAACTCAACGATGGGCTTATAGCTTTGGTGAAAGGAAAAAAAAAAAGTGTTATACATCTTGCAGTCAGAGAGGTAAACAGACAGTACTCCTTTACTTGCTTTTAAGAAACAAGTTGCTTGTTAGATTTCACTTCCCAAGACCAATTCTCTCAATCTCCCTTCCTCCCCACCCGTAAGAAATTTAAAAGTTGCACTACTGACAAGGCGATGTGGTCCTACATCAGACTCTAGCAGCTTGTTTGACAAAACACAGTACTGGAGATTCAGCAGAGGACAGGAGACACACCATCCTCTCCAGGGAAAGTGGACTCTCATACTTTGAAATGTGAGGGTGAGAGACTTTTAAAAGGAAGGATAATGTAGACTCATTCGCAGCAGTGCGTAACCCTTGCTTGCACTCAGGGAGCAAACAGCTTGCTGCTCTCACAGCCCCGAGTCCTGCAGGTGGAAGACACATCTCCATTCAGTACTGCTTTTGCCCAGTGCTCTGGGGCAGGAAATCCCTGCAACTCCCTTGCAAGGCCATCTGAAATACAGAGCCTGTCAGACTCACAACATAAAGGACATCGGTGCCTCTTAAACAAAACTAAAAAGAAAATCTAACAGACCCACAACAAAGCAAATCCCATCTGTGAAGACGCACCTTGGAGACACTATGGTGGAATTGCACACCCCTTAACCGCCACGCTCTAGCCACGCTGGGACACGAGCTGCCAGAGATGCTTCTCCAGGGTATCTCACTGCACATTTACCGTGCTTCCTTTGGCAACATGGAATAGCCCTGCCAGAAGTGGCTGTTAAGCCAAGCAGTCGCTAGACCACGCTAGTGGTTTGGTCGGCAGCTTGTGGTCAGCACAGCACAAGGAAACAAGCACAGATGCCCTGGAGCTCTCCGCTCTCCCCACCAGATGAATTTGGGCAGAAGGCTGCCAGCAGGGCAGATATTGCTCTGACAGCATGAAAAAAGCTGCTTTGATAGCTGAAGCAGTGCTGACACACCACAGTCTCTGTCCTCTCTTCTACCTGTCCCATCCCAAAGAGATGACAAGGACAAACCATAAGAAGGAAGGAGGAAAACTTTACAGTGCAGTCTGGCCCAACTAGGGCACAGGGAGAGACCCTGCATGAGAAAACCAGGTCACGATACAGCCTCTCTCCCCCTTCACTCACCTGTCCTCTTTGTTGATCTGATCCCCAAAGCCCACTGTGCTCACAATAGTCAGTTTGAGGTTGACGTTGCTTTCCTGCAGGTCGTAGGTACTGGATTTCAGCTGGACTCCGGGCTGTGAGTGAGATGCTGGATCACCTTCAAACTTGGTGTTGAAAAGTGTGTCCATGAGGGTGGACTTACCAAGGCCAGTTTCCCCTATTGGAGAAAAAGAGAGTTGAAATGTTCTGTTGAATATTAATATGGCTTGGCCTTTCAGCTTCCAAACGTTAACAGGGGTGAAATTGTAGCAGATGAAAGCAGATCTCATGTTCCAAAGGGATCGTCTGGCAAGCTGAAAGCCATGTACAATGGGAGGTCTGTATTCCGGGCAAATTACATTTCACAGTCTAATGGCCATTAATATCATTAGAAAATAGAGATGAAAAGGAAGAGGTGAAAAGGCAAAGGGGAAAGCATCGTTCAGATCCTGCATAAACCCACAACTACACTTCAGAAAATGCTGTTTTCATTAAAAAGTGGGAAGGGGAATGGGGCTCATTGCCATTTCCAAAAAAAGATGCTCCAAATCAATATGCCTTTAATAAGCAGCCACTGAAATAGCCTCCTTCCATGCAGAAACACTGAGAGTTGGTTCCAGTCCTACAGAAAGTTGTGCAGTTGGTTTCTTGTACCCACAACAGATTAGGTTGGGGGATCAGCCTTCTAGACTGGGAAGGGACATTTTCTGTAGTATCTGGTTTCCATACTTTAGGGGCTACACAAGCTATACAATACTCCAAAATCTGCTTCCAAAAGTTCTGCAGCATTGAACTGTTGTTTGGATTCCATCTATCAACAGGGAACTATTTCCTTGTCTGGAAGGAAGAGACAAATCCCAGAGACCAGTCTTAAATTTGTTTTAGATACATCCCAGAAAGAACAAACAAATCCCTCTGTGCACTCATTCCACAGGGCAGCCTCCCTTACCACGCTCTGACAACGGAGCCAGCTTTCCAAGCTCAAAAGGATCTGACTTTGTGCTAAACCCGTAAGCAGTCTGGTTTGCTGCCCTGTGAGGGCTGTTGTGTTTTGGGGAAACAGCAATTTCTGAGCTGCCCAGCTGGCTTTTGCTGAAACTTCAGGAGCCGGCCGAACCCCACCCGCTGCGAAGGCTGCTCCTCCAGCCTGCTGCGGGACCAAAGGGAGACTGTGCCTGGCTGAAACAGCCTTCCCCCGCCTCCCCGAGCCCTCAGCTCCCAACCAAGACAACTTCATTTCCCTACTTCGCTCAGAAGAAAAGAGCTTCTTATTTTTGTAGGCTTAGAGCTCTGCAACAGATCCAAACTTGCATGAAATGCCCAATTCAACAAGGGGAAACTCCTCCCCATCCTCCCCCATCCAAAACTCCGAGCCTCATCCCTGCAAGCAGGCAAATTCCCCTCTCTTGGCCCCAGAAGGGACTTCTCTCACTCAAGGCTGAAGTACATGACAGGCAGGGCAGGGCAAACATCCACTGCTCTGGGAACTGAGCGGTCTCTGATTGCCAGGATCACATATCAAGTATGTTTCCAGAGGCAGCAAGATTCATTAACATTCGAAAGTCAATATACACCTTGAGCTGCAGAGCTGCCTGGGAGCCAGCTAAGAGCTTGTGCTCCATCACCGATTGATGCCAGCTACGGTCAAAACAGCCACAAATCCCGCTGTTCTTCACACCAATCTTGTTTGCATTCCGAAAAGGAGAAGAGGGAGTCAGCACTAGGAGCTGGTGTTGCTGCAATCCCTTGTGCTATGTTAATGCATCAGCCAAATCTACGGCATCAGCGTGCACCGGCAGGAGGAAGGGAGAGGGACTCAGCAAAGCACAAGGTTATCTCTGCCACTGGAGGAACGAGCTGGACCATCCAGAAGACTCATGGCTGATCACAGCAAGCCTTTCATTAACTTGGAATCTCGTGGTCTGGGCTTTTGGGGTACCATTTGCCCCAAATGGGGAGCAGGTACACAAAGCACAGCAGACCAGAGCATCACCACAGTTTGGACAGGGATTTTGAGAGTTAACAGCAGACAGCCTGCACAACCCACCAGGTCTTTTTCAGGGATTCCAGGAAAACAGCAGCATAAAAAAAGAAAAAAATCTAAACAGCCTGAGAAGGCTGCAGCATTTCCAGAGCCCCTGCCAAGGGACGGGTGGGACAGAGCAGGGAGTTGCCTGCTTGCCTGTGAATGCCAGGATCCCTGATGGGGCATCTCAGGACAGGGGAGCTCATCAGCCCTGGGGTGCGGCAGCATCGCCCACACACCAGCCTGCAAACCCCCTCCTGTGCCACCGTCCCACACTCTCCGTCCCACAGCCTGGCGGGCCCCAGAGTAGGGTCGGATCCAGCAACCCATGCCCCGCGCCTCCAGGACTGCAGGACAGGGTGACGGGAGCAGCAGCGGCGACCGGGGCGGGGAGCTGCTCTCTGCAGCGGATACACAAGGTCGCATGTAAATCATGCAGGCTTCCGGGCAGGCAAAACACCCTGTAAGGCACCTCTCGTTTCTGCCTCCCTCCTTCTTTAGGGTGAAAGGTGTTCACGTGAGGCCAAGACTATTGTTTAAGCACAACCTGAACCTGCTAATCATTGCCTACTTTAAATCAATCTAATGTGTTGTTTCCAGCAGGAGTGACTTTAACTGTCAGAGGGGCCAGGAGTTGCCAAAGAGAAGCAGGCAAATTTTTAAGATAGAACATGCTTTTATACTCCATCTCATGCCAGCTACACAGGGCCAGCAAAGGCAACTTTGAATTCACACACTGAGGTTTTCCTTTTGGAAGGGGAAGATCCAAAATGGTAAGGCATTTTTCCATAGGTGGGTGTTGCCCATCCAAACACCTACAACTTTGTGTTTAAAACACAAAACACCCAGCCACTAACACGGCATCTCAAACATGAAGTCTGCACGCCAGAAACAACATTCAGCCAGCAGATACACCCATCCCCGCGCTGTGTAACCCCACTGACATGGCACGGCATTAAAGCCAGCCAGGGAAGAGGATGGAGGAGAGAGGAACGACTGTCTCAGCTAAAAGAAACACGATGTTAAGACTGACGGAGTTGACATGAGATGGTAAAAGATTGAAGATGTTAATGAAGTGCTTCGCTGTGTTAAATATGACCAGAGCTAGAGAGCAGTGCTACTCTGAAGGGCAAAATGACAGAAGGGAGAATTTCTGAATCTCTTGGGAGTTTCTGCCTGACACAGAGGCAACTTTCTGCTGGTTGGAAGATGTAAGTGGTGCCAACTGCTTCTTCTAAGGACAGAAGTCCAGATGGAACAGATGGTCTGATGAAAAGGACAAGTAGTCTGTGCTCGTTCCAGCCGACTGCGCTGGAATCTTCTCCAAAAAGCAGAAATGATGAATGGGGATTAAGGGAGGCAGAATTACCGTGGAAAAAGCAGCGGTGTGTGCAAACCGAGTGAGAGGCGTCCTTGGCAGGGAGATTATTTCCTGATGTCAGGCTTACAGGCACACATGTGATTTGATTTCCAAAACTGTACTTAAGGATTATGCAACTCCGCAGCGGTCTGCTCTCCCGAAGCAGGGCTGACAAAGCGCTGTGGGGACTACAGGGCAGGGAGGGTGACCTTTACTGTTAGAGTTCTGCACCAGGAAGCTCTGACAGCTGCTGAAAAGCTGTAGCATTGTGCCTTTCATCACGGGACAGATTTTTGCTGTTAAGTCTGACCATTTTCAGAGATGTGGAAAAAAAAAATTGGCAAGAGACACCACACCTGGACATGCAGCAACGCTACACCAGTGCCCAGAAGGCACCATCCACTCTTAACTCCCAACAGCCTGCCAGGCTAGAGACACTGTGCCGGGCTCCCCACACCTCCTCTCGGTCTCCTGAGACACACTCCCTGCTCTGACTGCACATGCACGATGTGCTCGATGGAAACAGTTCATCAAATCCCTCATTGATGGAGCAGTGGCACCACTTGCAAAAACACAGCTGGGACAAGCACCACTCTCCTCCCTTCAGCTGCTCCACAGAGATCCTCTGCTCTGGGACCAGACTGCGCTCCCTGTGTTGCCTAGGCAGGACGTCGCTCACAGTCTCTGGAGCTCTCCAGCTGGTGACCAGGCAGAGCCCGTGCCAAAAGACAGCAAGCACCAGTGCTGCAAGGAGTGAGTGATCCTGCCATCAGTGCCGCAAAGCAACATGTCACGCTGTGCAGGCAAGCAACACGAGGGCTACCCAACACCAGCTATTCTGGGTAAGATGGAGATGAGGTGAGGAGAGAGGTAGAGGTGGAGGTGAGGTGCTACCTTACCTGTCTCTGACATTGGCCAGCAGCTAAGGTAGAGAAACAGAAGAAGCTGCACCCACAGCAAATGCTCCTTCCTTTGGGAAGCTCCCAGCTTCCCAAACCAAAACGGGTATCTTTGTGCTGAATGCACCCTCATGGCTTCTTCCTTCCAATGAAATTTTGGCATCCTAAGCACCCTGCAGTAGTAAGCTGAATTATACACCACAAAAGCTGTATCTCCTTTTTTGTGCCTGCCTATTTAATTTGCTTTTCCCTAGGACATGTTAAGGGAAACAACAAACAACTGCTCGCTGGCCCCCTTCTCCACATCACTCAGGATTTAAGAGGCCCCAGACATATCATCCTCAATTGACTCTGTGGGAGGACAGAGGAGCCCTTGGAGTATTTCCCTGTTCAAAGGCATGGAGCAGCTTTCACGAGAGCACCCTTTCACGAGAGAGCAACACCTGTCCTTCACAAGATTAACAACCGTGGCCCCAGATATCAAATAATTCAATCTTAAAGAAAATGTATACGCATGCACAGCCCTTTTATGTGAAGAAATGGGAGCTAATCCAATGTAGCAGGTTTGTTGAGACAAGCCCTGAGGCAGCTCAGCCTGATAAGGCCATCTCTCATGGAGAGAGGAAAAAATAGTTCTTTTCATCTGACAGGCATACAGAGACGCCGCACAATTCACCCATCGCAAGGCAAAGGCTGGGCTGTGGGTGCAAGAGGAGCAACATGGGCTCACAACAGATGCTGAAGCGCCTCAGAGGACTAACCAGCTCCCAGTCGCTGCCGTCCGCCCTGGGGGAGCAGCGGCGAGGGGGCAGGAGAGAGCTGAGGAGACCAATGGCTTTTCGGTTGGAGAAACCCTGTTCTCTCCTCAGCTGGTTGCACCAGTGACCACAAAAACAACCGTTGGGCAACTTCCAGGCTGTACAGCTCATCACCCCACAGAAAGCTGCCTGCTGGAGAGCAGACGGCAGCTCTGCACAAGGAAACCTGTGCACATCCCTCCCTTCCCCAGCCAGTGAGAGCTCCCGCGTGCCAAGGGACTCACTCATTTCGAGTGAGAGGCCTCAAGCAGTTGTGGTACAGCCCCTGGGAAAAGAGAAGGTATTTCTGCCACAAAATAGCCGTTTCTCATTGCACTGAATAGGCTGCTTAAAACAAATCCCTTGCAAATCCCGGGAGAGAGGAAGGGGGAAACTCCTGTTTATAATGGAATACTAGTCTAATGCAACTATAATCTACCCTGGCCAAAACTGAGAAAGTTTGCATTAAAAAACGTCAGCCTATTCCTCTTTCTTTCCTCCATCTCACTGAGAAATACAGTCAGCACAGAAGGTCTCAGCCATTAAATACTTCTCCAGCCTCTGCACTGAACTAAGAGGCAACTAACATTTTATCACGGAAGCTTTAGGAAGAAAATGGTTGTGCTGAGGAATAAAATATCAGAGAAACCATCCGCAACCCCTAACTTCTTATGAGAGCTTTGCTCATTTACTCTATCTTTGGCTCTAGTCTCAAAGGGGAGACAGCTTTCAGCATGAGAAGAGCTAAAAATTGCTCCACTCTGGACGTGCTGCTAAGAGTCATTTCTGAAGCTTTCCTTGGCTCCTCCACCAGGAGCTGGAGGAATCCGTGGCTCAGATCCAGTATGGCGCAGAGCAAAATTGTCATTGGATTTTTCCTTCAACAGATGCCAGACACAGCTGAAAAATGGGGGGCAACGAAGTGCCTTTCTACCATGCTTAGTGGCCTATGGGATCAGTTCACCTATTTGTTGTTTGGTGACTCCAATCCTCATTTGCTCCCTGTTCTTTCAATTTTTCACCCCAAACTCCTGCTGTACAAGGGAGACCCAACAGAATAAATGACAGATGGACTCTGGGACTTTTTGTTTTCTTTCTCCAGGACGTTTAAGAGTTTAACTTTGTTATCACAAGTTAACAGAGGCACCAGACAACTCTTAAAAGTCTTTTTAAAGCCTGACCTCCTCAACTCAAGATTTGCGGATCCTTTCCTAATGAAGCTTATTAAATTTTTCTATAAAGTTCCTTTATTTCAAGATTGACCATGTCTGTGTTATTACTATTCCTAGAAGACTGACATTAATAACTAATGTGCCTTGATCTTGGCGAGTCCTTGTTATTCAGATCAACAAGCGATTAACGCGTTCCATTTCTGTCCTGCAAAGAGGAAAGCAGAGGCATTCAACTCCTCTCCACCCATCAAAGTGAACATATAACCACAGGAGGCATCCACTGCTGCACCTATAACTTGTAGAAAAAAACACAGCAGCTCGATAAATGCAAAAGGAAACACTGTAAGACTTCAATCGTTGGGACAAGAATTTCACTAGGTCATATCACATTCACGTACTGTGGAAATCGCCCAGCGACTCAGCCTGACAGTGACCTCCACTTGTCAGCACAGTTT